AACGTTGCAGATGGATGAGGGAGGTCAGGAAGGATGCCTGTAAGGGAGGTTGTGAGGGAAGTACAGAGAGAGTTGGGAAGGGTGGGTAGGAGAGCACGAGTGGCAGCATAGTGTGAGTCCAGAAGGGCTGAGGGAGAATGCGCAGGTAGGAGAGACCTATGACCTTTCCTGCTGGTTTCCCCATTGATTTTCTTAACACATTGGCAAATTGCAATCATGTAATTGCTGGATGCTGCAAGCTGGTCATAATTCTCAGCCAGTTTCCAAGTACCAAAATCATGCTCACGTGACCACAGGGATGGTAGCATGGTAGGAACTCTGAGGAACCAGACATAACCATCATCTGCTCAGCACTATCATAGCACAAAGTAGATCAACTTGCAAACAGTGTTTTGATAAGACCATGAAACATTTTGAATGAAAAAGAGGGCTTGAAAAATGTCCTGCCAGTAAAAAAATAATTTTATTATTAAATATACTGTATATGCTTCCCATATCACTGTCCAAAGCTACTTTGATAAATAGAACATATTGCCGTGAATGGATTGGCTTGAACAGTTAAAGTTGCCAATTCCTGTTTATAACTGCTTCTTCAACTGGGAAGTACCTTTATTTTAGTAATACTTTAGGGCCCAATTAATTTTTAAATCTGTTGGGATTTGGGAAGTACTGACTTCTATAGGCTTGCTGAAAGAATGATGCCATATATTTGGAAAACATAGGATTTATATGTGTGTTGCTCTTATGGTTTTCGATTTTTTTGGGGCTGAAACAGTTGCCAGAAATGAAAAGATATGAAACAGTTTACGGGAGAAAAGGTTGGTTAGAAATTGGCCAGAGTGCTAATGGCATGTCAGTTTATTAAGTACAGATACACAGTTATTAATTTTCCAAGTTTAAAATTCCATTTTCACATAAAATAGTCGTGGTTGTAAAATTTGCCAGATTATTGCTTTCTTTTAAGATTATACTGCTCGGGAGAACTTGAAAGTCTGCAACTGAAAAAGGTTGTTTGGCTACCTGTAGTAGAAGGAATTTCATGCCCTGTTTAATGCAGGTGATCTTAGAACGAGATATCACACACACTTCACCAACTCCATCATCTTCTGATGTGATCACGTTCCTTTAGTAGTGCAAGATAAAGATCAGTTTCTATGTGCATGCTGGAAAAGCGTATAATGTTTCCACTGGTGGAAGCTTAGGAGTCTGAATAGCTTTTTGTAAACCAGAGTGTACAAATAAGGCAGGAGTGACTAGAAAGTCTTAATTCCAGATCATTTGAGGAAGCCCTGTGTATTTTTGAAGGAACAGCATTCAGAGGTGAAAAGAAACCCTTCTCATGGCAGTGAACTGTCTTCTCAGCAGCTACAGATGAAGTTTGTTTTAAAAGAGAGTATAGGATGGGGCAGAGAATCATAAATGTTATGTACCCCATGCCTTTTGTTTACCTGTTATGAAGCTGTTAATTCAATGGAACAGCTGCCAGATAACTTAGAATTTAAGTAACCCTGATAACAGTTGAAATGTTCTTAGAGTTGTTATACTGCTGGGAATCGTGTGCGTAATATTGGCTACCTTTTTTTTTGCTAATATTGCAATATGCAGAGGCTGCTTCAGCAAATCCAGATTTCTGCTTGGAGATTTATGGAACGTTGCTTCCAAAAGGTTCTTCAGTGCAGAAAGACAAAGAAAAATCTTGGGAACCTGAAAGTACAGTTTGGTTATCTCCAGTGACTTTCTCAGCGTGAGACAAAACGCATAAATGGTCGGCTGAACAACTTTGGGGTTCTTAATGGCTGCAATTATCAGAACCTGGACCATCACTTACAATGCATATAGTTTGAGCATATAAGTTAAAACATAATGCCAAAGGAAGAAAATTTAAATCTCTATGCAGGATGCCATTGTGTATGAATCTGTGTGAAAACCCCTGTCGTGCAGTTGCTCAGCAATGCAGTTTTTGGGTCATTAAAATAATAATTTGCAGAGTCAAATTACCTGTTTCTCAAAAACCCAAGAGAGGGATCTACGAGCACATAATCCTCTGTCAATTTTAACCTATAGGCAGCCCGAAAACGTAAGATTGCCATTCGGAAAGCCCAAGGGAAAAACACTGAAGCCATCCGAGAGCTGAATGAGTATTTGGAACAGTGAGTGTTTTTATAAGAATATGCCTTGTGTTTCGCTAATCCTAATCTTTTTTTTAATTAAAAAGGCATTTACATTTGATTTCTTTCTTTGCCTCCTTGCTGTTCATTTTATGGAATCTATTTTTAGCTCTTTTCTCCACCTTCCTTTTGTTCAGATTTGTTGGGGACCAGGAAGCCTGGCATGAGCTAGCAGAACTTTACATCAATGAACATGAGTAAGTTGCTCGCAAATCCTAATTCACATAAAGGGCTGAGAAGGGGTGGGTTTTTTTCCCCATACAAAAAAAGGATTGCTTTCTTAAAGCGATTATTAGAAGATTCTTAATTTTATTCCAGTAAAATAAATAGCACTCATACTATTTTTCCCAGGGGCCATTCTTCCCCCTTTTTTATAAATAGGAACAAGGTTTTTAAGTTTTTTATTAGAATGCATTTTTATGGACTTGTCAAGCATATTTTATTTAAGCTGACCTATTTTTGGTAGCTTGGTTACAAGCCTTTAATTAATTTTGCCTGACGTAAATACTGATCTGCTAAATTCAAGAAAAGGCATGCATGAACTGCATTTAAAATTTAATCACTCTTCTCTGAAGAAACAGACTAGATATGATTTGCAAAAGAAATGAATGTTTTATAAACAATAAATAAATTGACATTAAAATAAGACTGTTGTTTCTTGGATAAATAATAGCTTGCACTCAAGAATGTTGGCACTTTTCTATTGGATCTTGAATGTTGTTCACTTTTTATTGCTTTAGTGACAAGGGGAAATCCTAACATGAGCGGATTAGAGTATAGCTGTAGTTCAGCTTTTTTAAATATATGGCATTAATTCTAACCTTCATTCCAAAAGTAAATTATTTTGTTTCTTTTTTTTTTGTCCGGTTTTACTTTTTTAGCCCAAATCTTACGGTAGTGTTGCTTTCCATGCATATTTCAAGAAATAAGAAAGTAACGAGAAAAGCAACAGTTTTATTGAGTTACCAAAAATAACTTTATTTATTTTTTAAGAACATAGCTTTTGTTGAGTAATGCTTAAACCTCAATGGGTAATTTTTCTTTAGATTGATTAATCTATTTGTTTTCTTATTAATTTTTATTTATTTATTTAAATTTATACTCTGCCCATCTCACTATCAAAGTGACAATTACTCTCAGAGTATTGACAATATAAGTGCAATATATGTATAATAATTTATAATTAAGGGATTTAGAAACAAAATATTATTGTCCTATTATTAGCCTCTTGTGGCATATTTCATTAAAACCTTTACTATAACATACTTTACTATAACATACATATGGACTATATCTTACTTTATCAGAAGCATGGATAAAACTGGCAGGTGACAATTAAAAATACACATTTATATAAATTTAACAGGAGGCATAAACTGGCATATTGATGAAATTAAGAGATTAAAAGTCTCCAAAAATTTGAAACAGAAGTCAAATATTTTCACAAAATCCGCAAAGAATACATCTATGTATTTCCTCTTTGGTAAAAATGTTAAATAAAATCAGATTTAATAAAAGAGATGATATAAGTTACAGTTACATAAAAACAATATTGGTTACATGTATTAAATTACAAATAAAGTGAGCCAAAAAGGTAGAGGACAAGGATACATGTGGAATTTTGTGGAAGAAAAGGGTTGTCGGAATAATTAGTATTCAATTGAGGGAGAATATTTGTAGCTTGGTTGAAATGAAGGGTCTTTGGTCCTCTCTGAACTTGGTTGTTGTTTTGCAGACATTTCACTACTCAAAACTAGAGAACCTCAATAGTGCACTGCTGATGTCACCTAGTTTGAGTTGTGAAACGTCTGCAAGAAAACA